GATATATCGAGAACCCTTTGAGCTTTTGCAATGCAATTTAGCATAGCAGCTCCCTGTGGCCTAAGGAAGACCCCTATTGATTTTGAAGTCAAAAGGTTAAAGGTCAAGGTCATAAATAAGCAAATTCTGTCTGTTATAACACTTTCGTTTCCACACGATATCTCTAGAACCATTTGAGCTATTGCAATGAAATTTTACATAACAACTCCCTGTGGCCTACGGAAGACCCCTATTGATTTTGAGGTCAAAAGGTCAAAGTTCAAGGTCGTAAATTTATACATTCTGTCTGTATGTAATACTATCATTTCCGGGCGATATTTCAAGAAGATTTTGAACTTATGTAATATAATTTTATACCAAAACTCCCTAGGGCCTCTTTCACCCCTCTCAAAGTGTTTGTTTTAAATTACTTGTATTTACCTGTCGCTATTTTTAGCACAGGGGCATGCGGAGAGTTATTGCGTTATAAGAAAGGTTCTCGGCGGACGTTATGTTCTTATTACATCTATTAGAACTGTTTAATAAAGGCTAAATAAATCAAACACCATGGATTGTGTAAAATTTTGACAATACCGAACATGAATATATACATGTATGTGACTTCACTTCTGCATATACTTGACCTTATTTAAAGCGATTCCGTGGTCTAGTGGTATGTCTCCCGCTTCACATGTGAGAGGTCCCGGGATCGAATCTCGGACGATCCTTTTTTTTTTAACTTTTCTTTTTTTTTAAATGATAGTATTCAGCATGTGAAAAGAATAATTTATGAGGTTATAAAATCATCATTACAGTGGGATAAATATTCAATATAAAAAGAATCTTCTAGACACATAGAAATAAAGAATAAGCAATCAAATCTTTATAAATACGCATATTGACATACATGTATTTTATTTGCTTCAGTATACATGTATACATTTAATAATTCTACAAATTCAGTTAGGGGGATCCGACTTTTTCTCTAAGCGGGGGACACGAATTCTCTGAATTAGCTTGATTTTCCTTTTGATTCAAATCAATAATCATTCAGATTTATGATTACTTAGTATAATGTTGCTTATTTTGGTTTTAAAATGTCTTGTTCACCTCATGTGTTCTCATATGCTTTACCATCGGAGATGTGCAAAAGTTGATACCCAAGCCAAAAAATCATTCAAGTGTAAGGAGCGCATTGGGGTATATATCGTTACAATGAAACAAGGTATCTGAAAGAAATGTGGCGGAATACGGCTATAGTTGGTGTGAAATAAGTCGCACATAGATGAAAATGTTACGTTTTTAAGAATTCATGTCAGCTTTAACTTAAATACACTTGTAGGAATAAGAAACATAAGACCATTTCACACCTCCCTTTCAATAATCGGCTGATCGTCAATTTGCAATCGTATACAGTTACTATTGTGTATTTCTTGACAATATGTCAAAAGGATTGTACAGAAGTTAAGAAAATTTAGATATTCCTCTCTAAACTGTACATAAAATCTGAATAGCCATACAACATTTACTTTTCAGTTTTTATACAATACATGTATGAAATATGTACAAAGAAGAACAAAAACATGTGTTTGTTGTTTTTTGCTTTATTATTGAAGAATATCAATTTATTTATATTTGATAATTGATTAAATATTAAGATGATACAACTTGATGTTGACATTGTTACAAATAATAATTTCTATAGATGATAAAATGATGCTGTTATTGTTTATAATCTTGTCTTGAAAATAACGTTATATCTAAAACCAATGCTGTTTTTTCATTAATTAAAAAAAGGAGACTAAAAGATGAAGATAGGGATATTTCAAGGAATAAAATGAGAAAAAAAAAATATATATATATATATATATATATATATATATATATATATATATATATATATATATATATATATATATATATATATATATATATATCAAATTATCATATATGTATACTAGTGCCATTTTGACCAAGTGCCGTTTTTACTAAGTGCCGTTTTCATCAAGTGCCGTTTTGCATAATCCAGGTGCCGTTTTCCCATGCAAAATATTTGTTCAAAAAGAATTTTTAATTCATAACAGCAGAAATTTGTATCATAGAGAATACTTTTAATTGAAACTTGAATGAATTCATGAACAAGAGGCCCAAGGGCCTTGAATCGCTCTTCTGATAAATTGTACAATCTATCCCTTCTATTAAAAGCCTCCAAGTCTATTAGTATCATAAGACCCAAAATGCATCAACTTACGAAGTTTGATAATATTTAGCCAGTAAAAACTGAAGATATTAAAACATAATTATAAAATACAATAAGTAGGTAACAATGATCTACCTTTTGATTGAAATTTTCTGAGGACTCAAGATACATTAATTGACAAAGACTGATGATTCTATTTAAATAAGTACTTGAGATAATTAACAGTAGGTTACCATGACCTACTTTTTGGTCAACATTCTCTGAAAACCCAAGATGCATCATCTGACAAAGTTTGTTGATTCTAAGCCAATTAGTAACAGAGATAATTAAATATAGCCATCAAATGTCAAAAGTAGGTCATGATGATCTACTTTTTGGTCCACGTTATCCAAAAACCCAAGGTGTCTAAACTGACAAAATTTGATGATTCTAAGCGATTAAGTACCTGAGATATTCAAAAATAGGTCACCGTGACCTACTTCTTGTTGGACATTCAATGAAACCCTAAGATGCCTCAACTGACAAAGTTTGATGATTCTGAGCCAATAAATACCAGATATAATTAAATATAGCGATAAAATGTCAAAAGTAGGTCACAGTGACCCACTTTTTGATCGACATTCTCCAAAAACCCAAGTTGCCGAAACTGACAAAATTTGATGATTCTAAGCTATTAAGTACCTGAGATATTCAAAAATAGGTCACCGTGACTTACTTTTTGGACGACATTCTCCAAAAACCCAAGATGCATCATGTGACAAAGTTTGATGATTCTTAGCCAATAAGTGCCAGAGATACTTAAATATAGCCATAAAATGTCAAAAGTAGGTCACTGTGACCTACTTTTTGGTCGACATTCTCCGAAAACCCAAGATTCATCATCTGACAAAGTTTGATGATTTTAGGTCAATAAGTACCAGATATACTTAATTATAGCCACAAAATGTCAAAAGTAGGTCACCAGAACCTACTTTTTAATCGTTACTCTCCGAAAACCCAAGATGCATCAACTCATAAAGTTTGATGATTCTAAGCCAATAAGCACCGGAGATACCAAAATAAAGCCATAAAATGTCAAAAGTAGGTCACCATGACCTACTTTTGGTCGTCGCTCTCCGAAAACCAAATCTGCATCCACTCACAAAGTTTGATGATTCTAAGCCAATAAATACCTAAGGTACTTAAATGTAGCCATAAATTGTCGAAAGTAGGTCATCATGACCTACATTTTGGTCGACATTTTTCAAAGACCCAAGATGCATCTACTGACCAAGTTTGATGATCGTAGGTCTGAAGGTAATCAAAATATGCGTTTTAAACAATTTAAAAACAAATTTCGACAAAATTCAAAAAGTAGGTCACAGTGACCTACTTTTTCATAAATAAGTTTTAAGGTCCCAAGATGCATCAAAGTACAAGATTTGATGATTCTAAACCTCCAAGTGTCTGAAATAATGGGATTTAATGTTTTTAAAAGGATTAGTTAAAAAGTTCAAAAAGTAGGTCACGGTGACCTACTTTTAAGTTCGCATTGTTCAAAGACCCAAGATGCATCAACTGACAAAGTTTGATGATCATAGGTCTTAAAGTGTCCAAAATATGCCCTCAAATCAATTTGAAAACAAATCCCCGCAAAATTAAAAAAGTAGGTCACCGTAATATATATATATATATATATATATATATATATATATATATATATATATATATATATATATATATATATATATATATATATATATATATATACATTTTTATTAATTGTAAATTTAGGTCAACTTTGAAGTGACCTTGAGACCACGACCTTTGCCATAGGGTAATTCCCCGTGCAAATTTTAATTTTCGACATATCCTGATTCTTGTTTGTAAGTTTGGTGAAAATCTGCCTGGTGGTAATGGAGAAGAAGAATTTTTAGCAATCAGTACTTTTGGTTTTGTTTTCCTGATTATCTCCCCTTGTTTAAGGGTCCCAACCCTTATTTTAGTATAAATGATAGCCCTTGGGACAAGGATACCCTGTGACAAATTTGGTACTGATTGGCCAAGGGGTTCTTGAGTTGTGGCCCATATTATAAAAAGTTTACGCACACCGCACAAATAGCCATAGCATTAGCTCTTTGAGCCTTTGGCTCAGAGGAGCTAAAAATCGATTGAGGAACATTCACACACTACAGAATGATATTATAGGGTGGTGAAAATTTAAATGCAACATAACGTTTCTGTTTACCATGTCTCCACGTGCTTGACACTTCCTAGCCACATTTCCGTGAATAAATTTACCCTATCTCGCTGAAGTCTCGCTAACTCTCGCCAGAGCCACTGTCAGAGCTACTCTGAACTAATCGGTTTTTTAATTTGCAGGAAACTTAAAAGTAAAAGGTTCCGAACATATTTGAAGGGGTGTTAAAAAGTGGGTTAGGCTGTACTTTAAGCTTTTATCCAACTATTTTTTTTTATTTGTTGAATGTCCTATTTATTGTTCTCGAAAAGACATTTATTTTTGTTTTTATTTTTTTTAATTTGAGAAAAGGACATAATACAGATTGAAAATCATATTTTAGCCCCCCACCCCTTACTTTCGATTGATTTTTCGTTTATTTTCATGGGTAAAATTAATATGAAAGGTTTTTTTTTTCCTTTTGTAAGAAAAATTCCTGAAAAAAGAAATATCATTTGCTATAAAATAGATAAATGATATTTAAATAAAGTAAAAATTCAAATAAATTATTTTGAATTCTCAAAATTTTAAAAGCGTGAGCTTCGTTTATCTTCTACGTATAAGTAATTATCAAAAAGAAAATCCATAATCAGATATAATTACCTGTACATCTGGTAAAAAAACATCTTCAAATATTTTGCTCGGCGAGTTCTCGTCTCCTTGAATTGCTGCCGTCTTTAACCTTAATGTCAGATGCTTGTTAATTTTATAATCACCGTCTTCCATGTTGTTAATTGTAATTTTGTGTGGTTTCTTCCATTCATCTGTTTCATATTTATGTCTCTCACTGAATGTGTAAGCGGGTATTTTTATTCCACAGTAATTGATATTTAAATCTGTCTCATCACCACAATCAAATGATCTATCCTTTTTATTAAGAAGATTTAAAGAAATATAAAGTTTGGGTAATTGAAAAGGATTATCAGTAATAAAGATTTGATCGGCATATGGAATTGTTAATGTAATGTAAAGAGTCGCAGAACTTCCTCGCTTTATTTCTAGGTTGGTTGTTGATACCTGTAAGAATATAAATTTGTATCATTGTGTACTTTTTACAATAATATAAATCACATATGATATGATAATTAAATTTTCTATTTTAGCTTTCAAATTACCGATCAGGGTAGCTCAGTCGGAAGAGAGCTCGCTCCGTGATCGGGAGGAAGTGAGTTCGAATCTCAGCCGTGACTGACCTAAGTGGATAAAAAAAAATGTGTAGAAACTGTTCCTTCGCCATGCGCTCGACACTTTGAAGAGAAAGTTGCGGGTCCTTTGGATGACACCTTAAAATCCGAGGCCCCGTGTCAACGGTAGGTGTTGGTTTAATAAAGATCCCTCATTGCTCAATGGCCCTGAGTGCCGGGTAAAGGTCAAAATTTGAAGTCCTTCAACGGCATACGGCGTCGTGTCCAAATGAGTGAAAAATTCTCGAGATGGACGTTAAACTATATATAATCTATCAATCAATCAATTAACTTGCAAATTGATAAATGATATATATATATAAAGCACTAAAAAACCAACAACACTGTATATCCTTAATGTCGGATCTACCAAGTAGATACAAGGTCACGGATGGAAATTTATATAAAGCACTCAAAATGACCAACGACACGAACAATAAAAATTGTCAAATTTTCGGGACGCCCTGTCCCTTCTTCAGGACAAAGAAAAAAGTTAAAAAGTCATAAGAACAAAGGAAAAAGAGAAACAAAAACAAATAGCACTACTAATAAACTACTAAACACTAGATATTTACATACTTAAAGCTATATATGCCGTATTAATGTTTTATTTTAACAGAAATAAATATATGTGGTGTCTCATCAATTTATATAAGTTATATACTTTCTGCAAATAAGACAATTCCACTCAATCACTTTTAAAAGTTATGAAATATTATTTGGTAAAAATTATTTTCTCTCCGAGTCGGATAATAAACCGCCTCTTATTGAAATATTCATGATCACGTTGTCCCACATGCTCACAGCAAACAATGGTCAAATCTTGTGAATGAACCGAAAAGCATGATGGTCTACTATGTTTTTACTACAAACACGTGAGTTAGGGATTGTCAATACGTGAGCACACCTCAGAGTTGGTTGCTTTTTGTACCGAGGAATAATCATGTGCAATTGTCTTTTCACTGGACATTTTCGGTTGGGTGAACTTCATACTGAAGATCCGTAGTCGTTATTTTGTAAATGTTCACTCAACCGAAAATGTCCACTAGCAGTACAGCACGGGGAAACTCTAAACAAACGGACCTGTACAATGGAGTGGGGAAAACTTTAATTTGTATGCAAATATGAGCATGGGATTAGTAAATAGTAATGTACATAACGTATTAAGCGTGTAAATGCTTGAGAAAATGCATCAAGTCTTTCCGAGAGCCATTTGAAAAACTGGCCTTTTCGAAAAACTCATGTAGTAATTTATGTAGTAACCCATTACTGCATTAAATGCAACTCATTGAGCTGATTGGTCGATTTGTGTTCCTCGCAGAACAGACGTCACAAAAAATATTTTCCTCAACCTGATGATTCTCACGATGCTTTTCCCGCGCACATGCGCAGATCCAGGATAAACGTCAGTCCTTCATAAATATGCATGAGAATATCATGTTTTTTTCCCGACCAGTACTTTGTTAATACCGAATAATATTTCGTCGAATTTGCAAGAATGCTTCATTTTTGAAAGCTTATCGTACTTTGGAAAATTCTGTTCGATTTCAGCTGTGCAAAAATACTGTTTCACACGGCATACATATCTTTAATTACATGTTGAATTGGAAATTTTTAAGAACACTAATAAAGAAAGAAATCCGGACCGCTATGAAATGCGTACGGTCTATCGGGTATACTCGGGTGAAGTGCGATTTACATAATTGAACGAATTAATTATGCTAATTAATTACGACATTCAGTAAATCGTACATTGTTTCATTCTCTCAAAATGGCGTAACTTTACTAAATAAAGAATAATCAAAGAAATTGATCATAAGAGAGTTATAAATGAAAGACTTTTGGCCCCTCTAAGCCCCTAATTTGAGGGGTCAGCCCCTTTTTCTTGATATCAAATGAAAGGTTTCATGATTTTGAAGACATTTTGTTCACCACTTTTTCAGAGATTTCTTTTCGTTATGGAAATATGCTAAATAGAAATATTTATGGGCCGTCGCTACAAGTCCTTAATGGGGTCGTTTTACAAAAATTCAAAGTATGCATATTGTTTAGGACATGCTTTTGACCATCTTTTGTTCAATATTGCTTATCAAAATATTCCCCCTTTCTGAGATACAAGGCGGCAAAGATTTGACATTCTTGCTCCTTGTGACCCCTAATTACGTAACATATGATCAAAATTTTATAATGTGTTGTTGCAAATTGTTAAGATAAATAAATTTGCTTCAGTAATGTATAACAAAATATTGATCATCAGAGAGTTATATATGAAAGACTGTTGGCCCCTCTGAGCCCCTAATTTGAGGGGCCAGCCCCTTTTTCTTGATATTAAATGAAAGTTCTTAACATTTTGCACATTTTTTCTTCTATATGTTTTAGCAAATTATAAACAGGTACGAAGATATGAAACAAAATGTGTCAAATTTCGTAAGATGTTTCCGAGACATTTTTTCGGGCCCATCGAGCTCCGTGCGTGCATTTGGAACGACTGAAATTAAAAATACACTTCAATGAGTGATTTTTAATACTTTTTAACTAAATGCTTTAATATAAAGTATATCTATATAGATAGTGAAGACAAGATGATATGATCATTACGAACATTGCATTCATGTGCGCATGCGTGCAATGCTAAAATCTTAATATAATTCGTATCCTTCTCGGATAACGTTCTTTAAGTTAAAAATGCACAGAGGAAGGCTTACAGGGAATCTGGCACCAAAAGGGAGTTGGGGAGCGTTTGGGGAACATCTGTAACGGTTCCCGTTACAATTAGTACTAGTTATGATACATACGACATTAAATTCATAATACATAGCTGTAGATTGTTAAGATAAACATTTTTGCTTCAGTAATGTAAAACAAAATGCTGAATGACAAAGAGTTATCTATTAAAGACTTTTGGCCTCTCTCGGCCCCTAATTTGAGTGCTCAGTCCCTTTTGCTGGATTTTACCTCAAGTGCTCATGCTTTTGACACTTTTTGTTCAACAAGTGTTGAGAGATTCTTTTTTTTTGTTTTCGAGATATTTGCAAAAGAAATATTTCGGGGCCAACCCTTCAATTCCTTAATGGGGACGTTTAGCGAAAAATGAAAGGTTGAATATTATTTAAAACATTATTTTGAACGTCTTTTATTCAATATAACTTATCAAAATATTTCTCACTTTCAAGATATAAAGCGTCAAAGATTAAGCCTTCTGGACCCTATAAGAATAATAGAGGGGTCTCCCGCTGAAAACAAAAGACCCTTACAAAAAGATCTTCCGCTGAATACGGAAGACCTCAATAATTAGAAACAGTAGAATAACTAGAAGGTCTTCTTTACAGACGAAAGACCTTATTAAGAAACAATAGAAAAACTCTAAGTTCTTCCGTGAAGACGAAAAACCTTAAAAATCCTACGCACCTTGTGCTTTACTATTTATAAGCATTTGGATTTTTTTGAGGCGGGGATGTACAACTTGTTCAAAAGATGGAAAAATAATTTTACTTTTGACAAGAAAATATACCTAAACGCCCAAATTGAAAGTGAAATAAAAGTGAAATGTACATCACAGGAATGGGAACATTTGGAACTTTCTCAAATACCTTCTTAGGTACGAAATCTTGACACAAATTCTTAAGACAGGAGGGATTAAAAAAAAAGGCCAATTTTATGTAGAATGTAGAATCCTTCAAACCATTTTAAGCGTTGTTACTGTTGTGTATGTATTGCATACGCTGGGTCGCCGAGATTAGTACATGTACTTTACCCCAAATGTCCTTCTCCACTCTGGAAACAGAAACCACTATTTCCTACAAGTTAATTTTTCGAATTTATAATAATGATTGGATTTATATAGCGCTTTTCTAGCATAAATGCTACTCAAAGCGCTTTACAAAAAAATATACCTAGACGCCCAAATTGAAAGTGAAATAAAAGTGAAATGTAAATCACAGGAATGGGAACATTTGGAACTTTCTCAAATACCTTCTTAGGTACGGAATCTTGATTTATAAAAACATGGACATTGCAATAAGCAATACTAAATACATACGTAAAGATACGACAGAATTTACACGCGAGAATAAAAAATTTGCAACAAAGTGTATGCAAAAAGTAACTTGGATCTAAACCTGAACAGGTGCAAATTTACTCAAATGTGCAGACTTTTCATGTGAACAAATCAGTTCCTACGACAAAAATTGTACATGTATGACAATTAACATATGTGTAAAATATTCAGAAGGATGCAAATCATGTCGTATGAATCGGGTATTAGAAGAGGAATTTCATTATGTGTTAAAATGTCTTAAATATAATACACTATTACCCCACTCATACGACACGATTTGCACACCGCAGTATATTTCACACATATGTAAATTTAGACACGTGTGTGATTTCTGTCGAATGAACTGATTCGCTCACATGCAAATAATGAGAGGTATATAACCAGGTATTTGTGCAAGATAGCAAAGAGTAGTCTTTCTTAAATATTTTTTTTTGGGGGGGGGAATTTAATTTTCCAAAATTAGATCTTTCAGTGTTTCATTTTTAAAGATGATTAGAGACTAATTTAGAAATCAGAATGTAATGAAAATTTTGAATCTTTTTCATTCATTTCAAAAATATACAAAACAGATATTTGAGGAACGTTTCGTCTGACCGTAAGTGTACTTAATCATACACTGCAGATTTCCCAACATCAGTTCAAGTCAAGTCAATTAAATTTTATATATAGTCGGCATATATACATATACAGTGCAGCAGAAATAACATGAGATGAAGTAAGCTCTTTAAGCGACTTTAACATATTACACAAAGATAAA